GGGCGCCCGTGCCTTGGGGTTGCCCTTCAGCAGCAGCTCGCAGTACTTGGCCGCCTCATACATCTGCAGGTCCGGGTCGTGGCTGCGCCCGCCCGCCATCAGCCGCCACCAGCCGCCGCCACCAGCCACCAAGACGAGCGGACAAAAAGAGAAGGGGGGGGTTCCCAACACCGCACAGCTCAGCAGGCGCCCACCAAAGAACGGTGCGCCGTGTCGTGTCGTTGGTCGTGTCGTGGGCGGGTGGGTGTGGGGAGTAGAGAACCTGTCGACGGTGGCCAGGGGGCGCGTGAGAGCAAACGAGGCGTCCACGTCGGCGGCGTAGACTGCAGGCGTTGGAGAGATGTGAGGGCATGGGCCTTAGAGACATGTCGTGTGCGTGTGCGTGTCGTGCGGCGCAGGCGTGGCGGCGGTGGGCGGTGTGGAACCGGCGAAGTAGTCGCGGTCGGATCCTTCCACGCTGAGGTTGAAGGCCACGCTGCCGGCAGTCATGGCGAAGAGGAGGCCGCCTCCGCCAGTCCGGATGCCCTTGGCCGCCAGCACCTGCTCCACCGTCTGCTTCATGTCCTCCTCTTCCTCCCCCGCGGCGTCGAGCCGAACGGGGCTGCTGCTGCTGCCGTCCATGCTTGGAGGGTGGTGGCTGGTGGGTCTTTTCTACCAACTTCCTGGTATGGGGGGCTTTTTTTTTCCTCTCTCGCAAAGGCGGACTATTTTCTTTGGCTTCTTGTCTTTTTGTGCCCCACACATCTCCGCACACAAGATCTTGCAGGAGATCACATTTTTTTATTTATAATTTATTTGGGACCCAGCGAAAGGCAATTTGATAGACACATACCTCACACATACCATCTATTCACATACCAAATGGCCAACACGACAGCACCTCCCCCGCACCTCGGCCTGGGCCTTGCCGCCGCCGCCGCCGCCGCGTCTGGCCCGGAGATGTCCGCCGGGTCGCCGGCCTCAGCATGGGGCGCGCCTGCCGCAAAGTGGGTGGCCCTGGCCGGCGTGGCCGCCCTCGTGGCCGGCACTGCCCTCTACGTGGTGGGCACCTCCAAGGTGCGCGTCAAGAAGGGCCGCGTGCGCAACACCGACTACGCCCCCCCGCCCCCCTTTGCCCGTCCCGGTACCCCTCCCCCAAATACACTGCCCTCTCTATTTATTTATTTATTTATTTTGAATAGAGGCGCCACCGCCTCACCTTAACTCGTGTCGTTGGACGTGTCGTGTCGTTGGACGTGTCGTGTCGTTGGTCGTGTCGTTGGTCGTGCCGTGCCGTGCCGTGCCGTTGGTCGTGCCGTGCGTGTGCGTCGCCCCTCTAATACTGGGCCATCCGTCACTTGTGGGCCACGTGTGTGTGGTGGTGGGGGTTGCAGGCACGCCGGCCTACACGCCGGAGGAGGAGAAGCGGTACCGCACCCTCCTGGCGCTTCTGCGCTCGAGCGACGTGGCCAAGCAGATCCAGTCCCTCAAGACCCTCCACCAGATGTCCCGCCAGGGTACTACACCCCCCTCCCCTCCCCTATGCGTGGTGGTGGCTGGCGGTGGTTGG